GGGGGGGAAAGGGGCTGTGAGAAGTGCTTATTAATCATAGGTATAGGTCCCCGAATATTCCTTCTTCCACAAACGTTGAATTTTGAAAAGGGTTGCGGCTTTTTCTTTGGTCTCCAGGTTTTTTTTAATAAAAAAGTAAGCCCAGTAATACTTATTATTTTTACACGAATTTATTTGTAAAATAGCGATTTTGTTTGCTTATCTGAATGCCATTTTTCCACAATCCAGCACTGTTAATCGTGATAAACTGACACGCATTTCATGTTTTGCAGGATCGTGAACTTTTCATCTCTGAATGGACTTTTATTGCATCAGCAAAAAGTGCGCTGCATTCTTTCAAAGCTTTCATTGCAAGCCTGAATGAGCTGGAGGCAAAAATGCGACTTATCTCACAAATTACGATTTCTCAACCAGCGTTATATTCGTACGAATTACTTTCTGTGCAGAGGAACAAGTTAACCCCTTCAGAAGTGAATGTTCGGTAAGTTTTAATCATCGATAGGCGGTGAACATCCGATTTTTGAAAATCTAAGAATGCAGCAAGTACTGATCAATCAGAATTTACTCCACACTGATCTTTATTTTCGTGTTCGCCACAGGCCAAAACCACACTTCAGCATCATCGTGTTGGTATGACTGGCTTGATATAAATACTGAGCCTGAGTAATCATATAAATTATTCCTCAAAACTTGGTACTTATGTAGGGGGGATGGTTAGATGGGAAGAAGGGGAGGGGGGAGGGGGGAGGTTGAGATTTCCCAGATCTCAACTGGCTTGATATGAATATGAGTGCGTTTCCTGAGTAACCATATAAATTATACCTCAAGACTTGTAACTTATGTACGGGGGAGGATTAGACGGGGCGGAGGGAGGGGGGAGGGGGATGAGATTTCCCAAATCTCATAGCAATTTGCCTCCTGCTGCTCCTGGCATTAGCTCTCTCTGCTCCTCATTGCCCGGCGAGAAATTCTTAGATACGCTGCATTCCTTTCTTAACTTACACTTTTACTGATTGGACGGATGGATAGTATTTACTGATCAATGATGTCTGAAACAAGGAAAAATAACTTTTAAAGTGTTGTCGTTTCAGGATTATTTTTGGCCAAAATATCAATGCAAGTGATAAAAATTTGCCATCCCAAATTGATATATTTGAGACAGATATGGTAAGTATTGAACATATATGTGTGAGGCAATTCATGTTCGATGCATTTTTAAAATTTTTTATCGCAATTTTAATGAACCAAAAATCGTTCTGCGGTGTTCCGGGATATACATTTTCTTTATGCGTTTTTTGCAGCTATGCAATGCAGAAAACGCATATTGACGAGAGGTTGTCTGTGTGTGTGTGTCTGTGTGTGTGTTTGTGTGTGTGTGTCTGTGTGTGCGCTGCGCGTCTGTACCGATTTTTCATCTCGAGACCGACAAAAGCTACGGGGCTGAAACTTTGGGGGATTAATCTGCATGCACGTACGC